AGCATGTGAGGCCGGCCAGCCGCCCGTTCACAGAGCCCTCTGCTCCCGCCGTCACACAGACCGCTGCAGCAACAAGGGCAGAGGAAAACACAGCTGGAAGGTTTTCATACCGCTTATCTGTCTTTACATTCTGAGGAATGTTGAAACGTTTTAACTTAAAGAGAAAGCTGTGTGGATCGCTGGTGTGCGTGTCGCAATGAATATTACGTCGCGGCAGCTGTGTGTGGCGTCGCTATGACGACAAGCTACGTACTATCTCTGGGTACTTTCTGCAATGGAAAACGAAGCAGGGCCGAGTAGAGTCGAGTCTATCGATTTGCGCTGTGGTAGCATTTTTCGGCAAGGCAGCATAGATCGTCAGAACACCGGCAACAGTTCAACGCTTAGTCCTGATGGTAAGATGTGGAACAATGATGTTGTGTGGTTGTGGACTTGTGAGTAACTTATACCATCTGCTAGGTTACGGTCGCAGTCTGAAGCGGCTTTGATTTGGCTCACACTACCTTGTTTCTTACGACCCGCCCTTCTCTGCTTCTGATTGGCTAGTAGTCCTTACCTGGGAACTGCGCATGTGCAACTCCCAACAAAGATTTTGTACAAGTAAGATGCATCACTCTGTAGCTCAAGAGCGGAGCGAACAACACACAGGGTGAAAAGAGGAGCTGCACCAATGTGCAGTATGAGAAAAAAAAATGGTGTTTTTTGAAAATTAAACCATGTAAACCTGTTCTGGTACAACCCCTAAATAACATTTTGAACCTGAAAATGAGAATAATACTCTCTTTACGCACTTTTAGGATCTCAGTGCTATGCGAATGTGGCCTATCAATAGCACAAGCCTAAACTGCAGTGACTGGAGTTGTAGCTAATACTAATTACCAACAAGATGCCCCCCTTCTCCACGGACGACTTCCACAAACTTCTACAGAAAATTAAAGTGTTGGAAACTAAGATCCAAAGGTTAGAAGTTAATGTGGAAGTGAATGGACTATGTGGGAATGACACTACTTTACCGTGGACCCAAAATAGTGGACAAGAGCATGCTGACAAACGGCGAGTAATGAAGAGTAAATCATTTCCCAGGGAAATGGGAGGACGAGTAACAGGCAGAACCCAGCGCCCTGAGATTTGTGATGCGACTCTTTGGCCTGCGTTATCATCTAGGCAGAGCGCCTCTTCAACCTCTGTTCTTAGTAGGACACAGCGGTGGACAGCTGCAAAAGGGAGTGTTAGCAACAAACCTCCACAACAACCGAGTGTGCAGTGCAGTGAAGTTTTCACCACAGTTCCAGGACCCTGGATCTCCGTCTGATGACCTGGATAACATCCCATCCTCACACAGAAGGGTAAGGACAGCGTTAATCAGGACTTAAAAGGCTACAAGGAACAACTCGGCCTCAAACTCTGGGTCTCAAACTCAAAATTTTGGGTGACTTTGCTGTAAACGATGTAAGAAGCATGCTACACACACAATATATAATTAAGTGTATATTACAATATGGTGACATATAAAATAAAATAAAACAATATATACAGTTATTTATATACATATACATACCAGTATACACCAATAACATTGCAAAGTGCATTTTTTGAATTTGCATCTGGGGTGAATGTAAACAACAGCAACCAGATGATAATATGGTTTCATCTTCACAATAAACAGTCTGACATTTGGCAAACAGAGTTCATCTTGACTGCGTTTTTAGAACCAAGCATCATCAATGTAAAAGAGTCCACCTCTCATCTTGCTGGAGACTTCTCTGATTTCCGTTGCTTGGTCAACATGAGCCCCATTTTGTCGAGACCGGATCTTTAGGAGCAGAATTAAATCTAATGTTTTACATATTAAAACTCATTACATTTTTGTCTATGTAAATATCATGTAATCTTTGTTTAAATATGTATTGTATTTTAATTCATGTAATGTATTGTTTTTCAAGTCATGGTTGAAAAATTGTGTTTTACTTGTGCTCAATGGGACTTTTCCTGTTCAAATAAAGGTTTATATATATAAAACAAAACCTCAAGAGTTAAATACTACTTTATTTAAACAGCCTGTTTAATAGCTTGTTTAGCAAGAATAACATATAGAAAGCGTTATTTTATCTGCTCTGTCTACGTCTCATCCTCTGTGTTATTAAAGCACACTGCGCTAACGCTAGTTTGATGTGAGATGTAAGATGAGCTAAATGAAAGCGGTTTGTAGTCTAACTGTTCCAACCCGGTCTCACTCCCAAGTCGTCACATATGGACGCTTGGTCAAGAGCCATAATCGTCAGTTTGTGACGCACTAGGGATCCCTTTGACGTCATAGTTCGACGTATTGAGGGAAGCCCTGTTGTGTCAGTTTTTGATGGTAAAGGCAAGTATGATATTTAAGAGAAAAGACGAAGTAAGGAGGTGATTGGGGTGGATAGAGGGCCAGAACCCGGACCTTGAAGCAGGAGAACAGGGTTTGTGTCCCGTACGAAACAAAACATTAAATGTTTTTATTTAGGCGAGTGAGGTAAATTGACATTAACGTTAGTTAACTTAAGTCTTAATTGACATACATAGCTATTTTAACCCAAACCATGATCTTTTCCTAACCTTAACCAAGTAGTTTTGTTGCCTAAACCCAACCAAGTACTTTCTGTGCCTAAACCTAACGAAACTGCAACGTTTCACGACTTTAATTATGCACGTTTCAACATGACAATGTATCGAAACGTTACGTTTTATCTGGAAAGTGTAACCAGATATTGCATATTTATTGTTGCTAAGCGTTGCTAACTTGACTGTGGATCCCTAAACGTCAATAATTGATGCAAAAGGGCTACCCAAGTCTTTAAAAAGCGACGACAAAGGGCCTTGACCATGCATCAGACATTTGACGAGTAGGGAGTGAGACTGTGTTGACTGTTCAGCTTAGATTGCCACGTAGCTTCGATTGGCACATTGTTACCTGCAGTGAATCACAGCAGAGACAGAAGGAAGGAGGACAGGAAGAAGGACTGATATATGCCATATGCAATGCGCTGGTTTTTTTTTCTGAAACAGTGGAAAAAATCTGACTTTGGCGACATGTTTGTTTGGCTCTAGCTGCCTGAACTGCATCTGTGAGGCTCTATCCACGCACAGCAATATGAGGCCAGGAGAGTGATAACAGGAAAGGCGCCTGTAAGCATGTTTGACTCTTAAATTCTCTGCCAAATAAATTTCTCGATGTTATTCCATGAAATATGCCAATCGGCTTATACCTATCAGATTGATAATTATTGTGCATCCATATCAGATATGGCCTGAAAGGCGGAGCTGGGGTGGCTGTGGGTTATGACCTGTTTGCAGAGGAAGCAGCAAGGACAGGCAGGCTGGTTAAGGCAGTTTAAATATGCGCCTTGTATGAAATTTGTCAATGAATAATAAGAGAGGAATCAGCTGAGTTGTCAGCAGATGTGGCTGACTTAGAATGGCTGCAATCAGCTGATGAGCTGGGATTGTAAACTGAGCTTGACTTTGTTGCCTGCCCGAACTAATGCTATGCTAGATTTATGTCAGAGGGATGGGGTTGGTGATAGAACAGTGGAAAAGACACATGCCTTTGGTGTGAGAGAATCCAATGTGTTCCTGAGCAAGACATCTAGTTCTAAGTCACTTTGGAGAAAAGCGTCAGCCAAAAAACATTGTAAAAAACAAAAGTGTAGCGAAGTTTGAAGGAGCGCTGCCGGTTGCCGTAGCAATCATAATGATGTTGGGAAGCAACAATTTGAAAAAGGACAAAAGAGTTGAGAAAGGCTGAAAGCTGAGGTGTTTATCAATGGCCCTCGATCACCAATTCAAAGAGGAGTTCATAGATTTAGTAGATTGTTGGCACTGAACATGTGTCTCTCAATGGCACACACTGTCCATTCAGTGTATTTCATCGATAATTTCAACTTTTTCTGGGACCGCAGATGTCTTTTTAAGGAAGGACTTCGCCTTAACAAGTCAGGAGTTAAATTGTTCAGCTCAAACATATTGCCATTTCCGCCCCTGCTGGAAGAGAGCCCAGAGTGACATTACTGTCTGATGCAGATCCGGCAGTTAGGGGGAACGTTTCGGGAACTTACTGTTGTGAAACTGTGTTTCTGGACCAGTTCTGATGTGGTGTACATGCGGAAAAACATATAAATTGCCCTTTACAGTATTTTCATAAACAAAATAAAGATTAAACAAATCTGAAAGTAATGTAAAACAAAACTCATAATGCTGTAAAAAGTTGCTGTCAGTGTTTCACTATTATATATGATGTTTCTGGATTAATATTCCTGCTACATTAATGTGTATGTTGCATTTTACTGCTGCAGATGTAAAGTTGAGCTTATATTATCTACTTTATATCCTGTTTTGCAGTTTAAACTACAGTAATTATACAGAGTATGCCTCAATCAAACTCCCATTGAACGTCACGACAATGCACACATTATTTGCGTTCTGGCTTCATCTCATTACAGCTCTGCTCTCTCTCCTCAGCAGTGTGTTTATTAATTGAATTGTGTATTTAAGACTCATGGTCTGTTCATTTTCAGTGATTATGGGATCATTTTAGCACCATAGTAAAACAGTGTTAAAACTTGACAATTGTAGTCGACTCGAAAATTCGACACAATTTACAAACAGAATACAAATTTCACATGTAAATAAATTACTTTGCATTCATTCTAATTCTGGTTTTAAAGTACAAGTCAGTGATTGGTGAATCATGATGTGTTTATTTGTGGATTTTTAATCATTTCGTAGATCATGTATTTGTGTTTACAAGTCAGGGTCTGTTCATTTTCAGTAATTATGGCATCATTTTACCCCCATTCCTGCATTTCCTTTCTGCAGCTGAACAGCTCCTCTGCTTTTACTTAACTATTGTTTTAACAAGAATTCAAAAGAAAAACATTGATTGTGTTCTGTTCTGTGCTGTAGAAAGTCCAGATGTCTTGTTGCATGTAAAACCTCAAACTAACCTGAGTGTGTTTTCTCTTTAGTTCTGACCTCACTGCTGAGCTGCACAACAAACCAAGGTGAGAAAACTTCTTCTGTCACAGCTGAAAAGTTATTCACTCCCTGATAGAACAGTTAGTGTTTGTGGAGGGAAACAGACACTTTACAAATACAATAAAACACTGAATGCAGTTTTGATGCCACAGTGTGACTGGAGCCAAAGCTAAAACTGATTGGAATAAAAATGTAATTCAGAAACTGGACAGCATAATGTAGCGACTACCAGGTAAGTGGGAACACCTAATTATATAAAAGTTTTAAAGCCCCCCTCCGGTTAGTTTTAACTACTGTTTTTGGTTAAGGTTCTTTCTCAAACAGAGAATAGGGGTGTGGTTAATAGTCGGACGTGATACATTACCATGACAACCAGAAACTGACTGGGGTTTTCGCTAACGATATGCTGTGTTAACATCACTACACTGTAAAGTTTAGTACACTGTGCTGGCAGGAATAGCTATTAACTTACCCATGATGGTGCGTTTACCGCGGAACTTTACTAAGAGGATAAACAGTAAACTGGAGAGATTAAAACTGAATCTGATTTATTTCTGTTTATGTAAGCTATAAGAAACTGGATTTACATCACCGCTGCTTATATCACAGTGACAATAACAATATTTTCATCAGCTTTAGCTGTGGATTTTGTGTCCCAATATGACCAAGCATACCATTCACTTATAGGCAGGTTGTCTGCTGGGCCTAAGGAGGGCACATTATGAAGTCATTACCTTTATGGGTTGTGTCCTGAAGAATAGGGTATTTACATTTTATACAGCCTCATTTGTCTGACAGTAAAATTTATCACACTTCATGCGGTTGCAATCATATATATATTAAACAGATGCATAGTGCATTAATGGTTAAACACATCTTATATAAAACTATTGTTTATATATATATATATATAACAAACTCAAGATTGGAACTTTTAAAAATATTTGTGTGGGTGCACCAAATGGGGCAGTTTTAGGTTTAGCCGGTCAACATGCATAAAGTCAGTGAATTAGGTTTAGATACTAACATTTCTTATGGTGATGGGTAAGGGTAGGGGCTTTGGGGGCCTGTCAAAACCTTTAACACGAACGTAGCTAGCACTTCCGCTCTGTTCAGGACGCCCCAGAGCATCTAAATGCAGACGCTTCCAGAAGCGTGTCATAGAGACGCACCCGGTGCTTCTCACACAGATGCTGAAGGGTACCTTTGGTGTTAAATAACTACTTTTTCACTTGATGAGATGAGAAGTGGCTGATCCCCTCACTCAGAGCAACCAGTTCTCACTCTCCGACTTGTCACGTATGGACGCACGATCAAGACCCATCGGCGTCAATTTGTAACATACTGGGGAGCGTCATAGTTCAACATAGTGGGGGAAGCCTTTATCATTCATTAAGGAAATTTCAGTCTGGTAAATGACGAATGAGCAACGCTATATAAAATGTAACATTGTTAACGTATCAATCCTCCTGTGTTTTAGATGCTATCATGGTCCATGTTGGCAGCATTCGTATTTCTAGCTCCACCCGATTAAAATGGAGGCTCTGCCTTTTTACCCATTGCCATGGTGAATCGTAGTATCAGAGCTCCATTGATGATGGCTTTTTTTCATCCCCACGCACGCGCTCCCATCAGGCTCAACATACTCAGAGTTGAACTTATTCTGATCGGCTTTTTTGAAACCGAAAACTCTGATTTTCACATCTCAGGCTCAGTCAACTCAGAGCTCAGGGATAAGCTCAGAGTTTGTTTAACCTGCTTTCTGAAACAGGGCCGTGGTTACAGGTGAACTACTCGAGTTGACGGAGTTGCGTTACAGAACGCTGAAACGTGGTGTTTTGTTGGGATGCAGTGTCTTAAAAAACTATAAATCGTTATGACTTAGAAGACGTGGACACAGTGGACATTTTATGAGCACCGACCAGGTTAAGCAACACTGAACACTCCTGGTTTAGAATAAATACAAATAATATCCATCCGTTAATTATACCTGCTTATCCTTTAGCCTATAGGGCAATGTAAAATGATGTTATAACCCTCAGTCATGTTGTTGGCTGCAGCAGAACTAAACATCACAACTGCTGAGAGGGAGTTTGGGCTTTTAGGGAGGGACGAGAGCCTCAGCTGTAAAGGAAAGTGGTGAGCTGGATTTATAAAACAAAATAAGTATCATTGTTAAACAGCATTTGGCACAATTATCTTTTTATCTTAATTAACTTGTTTTTGTCATCGGTGGAAGCAATGTGCGAACTATTTCTCTTCTGAATCACAGGAGCTATTAAAGTCCAAGAGTTTTGTGATGGCAAGCTTTCAAATAAACAGCTCAGGCAAACACTTGTCTTTCTGTGAATTGTATTCAAGTCTTCTGCAGAAGGAACTCACAGTAACACACATATGCCGTGTACATGTATGCTCGAATGAGTGAGGAGAGCTGAGTGAGCCTGCTACTTATCCAGCTTTAGGGTCAATCATGTCATCCCACAGAGGCATGTTGTCCCTGAAGTCTGTTATGTTTACACAAATTCAGTGCCAGATCAGACAAGTCTCCCTGACTCCAGGGTTACATGCAATATCTTTGGAATTCCCATTACAGTTTATAACTGAATTAAAATGAATTAATTTATCATTGAGGTGAAAAGGTGCCACAAGCATATTTAAAGAAATTATTCCCCCAAAAAATACATAAGAAGAGATGTAAATCAGTGTTGAGCAAGTTACTTCAAAAATGTAATACATTACTGATATACCAGTTGCTGTCATTTGAGAGTAATTAGTTATATTGCTATTATATCTGCCGATCGAATGTGTCTTTGTCATAACCTTCTGATTAATAGTGCGGGGGGGGCATCATATTCTTAATATGCTTGATATGTTTTCCCACCAATGTAAACATGAAACCTTGACCTTTAACATCAACTTTAAACAGCCAACTGTAAAAACATACAGAAAGAGTTTGTTTATCAGCTCATATCTGAGTTTGACTACAAGTTTAACTCAATACCTGAAACACAGATATCAGTTCAGCAGTTAAGATGTGACATTAAGAAAGTAAAAATATGAGGAATGTGGAAAAATGACGTTTAAAAATAGAAAACCACATCTTTCTGTCTCTTCCTCCAGACTCTCTGACTGTGAGTCCCAACAGCTCTCAGTTTTTCCGATGGAAGTCTGTCTCTCTGAGCTGTGAGGATGACGACAGCTCTGCTGGATGGACGCTGTGGAGGAACACAACCAGAGGAACCAGGACTCAGTGTGGAGCTGGCTGGGGGAAATCAGCTAATTCTTCCTGTAACATCAGTCTGACAGTCCCATGGGACAGTGGAGTTTACTGGTGTGAGTCCAGAGAGGGAGCAACCAGTAACACCATCAACATCACTGTCACTGGTAAGATCAGACTGTGGAGTTAGTGTTGATGAAGCTGTGTGTAAATGATGAAATGCTGTAGTTTGTCTCTGTGTTGAGGTGGACCAGTGATCCTGCAGAGTCCTGTCCTCCCTGTGATGGAGGGACACGATGTCACTCTGCACTGTAAAACAGAGACCCCTCCCTCCAACCTCCCAGCTGGTTTCTATAAAGATGGCTCCCTCATACGGACTGAGCCTACAGGTCACATGACCATCCACCATGTTAACAAGTCTGATGAAGGCCTCTACAAGTGTAACATCAGAGGTCGTGGAGAGTCTCCATCCAGCTGGATCTCTGTCACAGGTGAGGAGCTCAAAGATAATTCTCAAAATGACCTGGTTTTGTTTTCTACATTGAGTTCAGCAGGTTTCAGCAGAGATGATTCATGATGTGACAACATTTCTAACTTTGCAATCTGCAAAGAAACAAGAGTGAAATCTGTCAGAGTTCAACCCACCGTTTGATACAAGATCTTTTTAACTCTAAACCAGACAGACATTATGAACTCACTTCTGTGTCTTTCTGTTAGCATGTTGTTAAATAATTTATCTATTTATTTTTATTTCTGTAATTTCAATTTCTTGTTAATTTCAGTGCAACCCACCACTACGGGTCCTCCTTCAACTCCCTCTCCTCCTGATTTCTTCTCTTCCTCACCCACCTCTCTTCCTAGTTCCCCCTCTCCTCCCTTCGAGTTGTGGTCTGCTGTTCTATCTTTCTGTGTTCTGGTTCTTCTGGTTCTACTGGTGAGACAATGCCTCTATAGGAAACGTAAAGGTTAGTCACAGACTCCACATGCTGCAGTTCACATGTTAAGTCACATTTTACTGTTGACACATTTCTCTTAACACTTCTGGGCATACAAATAATAAGTTAATGTTTCTTTAAGTCAGACGTCCATCAGGATTCTCAGAAATTACATTGTTGCTGTTAATAAAACAATCTCACCACAGGGTCCATTTAGTGAGCTGTGGAGCTTTTGATTGATTAAAACTTTTGCTCCTTTTGGTTCATTCAGCTGCTGAAGTAGAAGTTGGAGTTGATGACATCACAGACGACATCACATACAGTGATGTCAAAATATTACGTCACCAACAGAAGCCAATCAGACGCAGCAGAGGTAATGACATTTTATTGATTCTGTTTTTCAGGGACAGTTACTGTGTGTTCTTGTTCTTACGTCTTTGTGAGGACCGATTTAAATTTTAGACTTTGACAGGACATTTTGGTATTATAGGACAGTATTATAAAATAAGGATATGTTAGGTATGTTCATCAAAATAAATCAAATGTAAAATCTATTTTTTTTTAGTCTATAAAGTTTCAGATTGTAATCTGATCTGTTTTGGCTGACAAGATGTGTTGTGTAAGATGTTTTTGTGCCCTGCCATGAATCTATCAACAGACTCTAGCAGCTCTGTGGTTGTCCTGTTTCCTGTTTCTGATAAAAACACTTCAGCCAGACGTGATTCTGCACATGTTCTGCATGTTTCACTGAAGGACTGTTAATGGAAATAAATAATAATAAATATTAATTATAAATGTTCAGATATAAATGTATTTTACTCAAACACTATTATTGATCTGTTTAGTTAATGTAAATAGTAAATTACCCATTTTCTTTTCCATGTTGTGTCACTTTTTTTTTTTTTTGTTTTAGGTTCATGTGACGCCACTTCACATAGTTCTTTGTATTTACATCAAATTTTCAAATCACATTTGGATTTCACTTTTATACGGGATTGATTATGTAGTTTGAGTGAAGTCCTGACATATTGACTAGTCAACATGTTTATCCTGTGGTGATTATTTTAACTTGATCAAAGCTAGCAGCTCTGTGGTCGTTAAGTTTTCCAAATTAGATAAATCCGCTTCACTTGTGTTATTTTCAGCTTTCACAGCAGCAGCAGTGTTAACAAGAAAAAAAACTGATCTTCAGTATAATTATTGGACTTTAACATGTGTCTTCAGCTACTGTATATGCTGATATTTGCTGCCATATTGATCAATTTCTATTATGTCCTATTCTTATACAGAAATGCATAATATTGTAAGAGAAGCATAATAATCTCAATTCTTTTTGTAATTGCTGCTGCAGTAGCAGTAGCTACACTAGTAGCAGTATTTTCTGTAATATCTGCAGTAATGTAATTTTGTATGTATTTTGTTTTCCAGAGTGTGATCCAGCTGTAGTCTACACAGCATTGAGAGGAACAGGAGACGTCAGTTATGGACAAATAGTGATCAAAGACAACAAATCAAACAGGACGAGAGGTACAGCTGCTTTTCTTTATTTCCACCATGAACCAACTCTAGAAAATATGTTAGAGAAGAGTCCAGGATTAAATACTAAACTTTCCTCTGGATTTCATTTCCTTGTGTTTGTGTTGTTTCGTATGTGTTATGCATTCCTTCTGTTTTGTTTTCTGTTTTGCTTTGTGGTGTTCTTCCTTGAGTGTCTTTTGCTACTTTTACTTCCTGTCTTGTCCTTCATTATTTGCACCTGTCTTGTTACCCTGATTGTGTACACCTGTGACTCATTATCTCCAACCCTACTGTGTGTATTTGCTCATGCATTGGCTCATTCTTGTATCTCCAGTGTTTTTTGTGCCTCCCCCCGTGGACTATTGCTTTCCCTGTGTGGATTTATGCTTTCTGTTTGGACATTTAAATGATGGTCTCTGTGGTGGAGAACGTTGCTTGTTTTGTTGGACTACTACAACTGCCACATTTCAATTGGTTTTGTAGTTACCAGTTACCTGGATTCAGCTCCCAAGCTAAAATAACAACCCCCCCTAGACTTAAAACATTACAGGACAATGGCCGTACACCAAGACTTAAAAACATGCAGTTTAAAAAATACATAGTTAAAAATAAAAAGAGGGTCATACAACAGTGACCGCATTGTTCCTGTTACTGTGTGAAAATGTATCAGTATTTTTATCAAGCCAAGGAACACGGTTGCTGAATGCAAGTTCACAACCATTTCTCCTATTGATAAAGTTGTAGCTGATTGTTTGCAACAGTAATTAGGATTTTTGGTTTTAGCTTCTGTTGTCTGAGAACAGATACAATTGCATATTCTAGCTAATCCAAAGCCAGAAACCGCTGCTGAATGAATGTTCACTGATGGTGGATGTATGTACTTTCTTTGGGGCTTTCTCTCCTCCTCCTGCTTACTAACCCCCCATGCACACACCACGTGATCTCTAAAGCTAACCACACCTGTGACCCACAGCAGGCTAGCATCAGAGTGCATTGAGGACTCAGGGTTTTATTTCAAGACCATAACCCTAAATTAAGATTTGTTACTGTTAACCACTGCCCCCCCCTCCCCGAGAGGGTAAGCATGGAAAAGGAGTGAATAAAAATCCTTACATTGATTTCAGCTCTTAGTGTTTGTGGGTGTTTTAATGTGAATGTGGATCTTTCAGATCAATTTCAGAAGTACCTATGATCTTGTTCCACATTTTATTGTGTCATGTAATGTGGGGAACTGGTCTTGGTCTTGACTTGGTCTCCGTTTGGGCGCTCTTGACTACAACGCTACCTCAAGCACATTCTGAACCGGATCACAAGCACGTGGGTCGGATCCACCCCCTTTCTTAATCTTTGCTTAGAATAGTTAATACTGATTTCTTGCTAAAGTTGTTCTTTGATCTATCCTTGAGTTAAATAAATCCTTTTATAATTTTAAGTTGTTGGTTATTGGTCCCTGATTTCAGGGAGGTACCCCTACTTATTAATTATAATTAATACATTTTGAATATTAATTGTATTAAGATTTCTAGAATATCTTTGATATTCAGCTACTAACCAAACCTGAGCCCGTGTTGAAAACCCCAACATATGGTGCCCCTGTGTGAGGCCATATAAATACCAATTTTATTGCAGTATTTATGCATAAATAATCCAGAATTATTATTTTTTAACTTGAAAAATCTTTTTTTCCTTGATTCTAATTTATATATTGTATGCTTTTGCCAAGCATTTTTCATTCAGTTGTGTTTTGGAGTTTTTGTTGTGTGCCAGAGGATAGTATTTGCATTGTTTGGATTTTTTGGCACACGTTTGTTAAACGGCTCTTCAGTTTGCTAGGTACCCTCCAGGGAACTAGTTATTAACAAAACTAACCTGCAAGCTAGATTGACACCAATCACCTTGTGATAAAGGATTCTTAAGTCTAAGTACTCAACAAATTAATTGCTACCAAGTGTTCTCTTAAACAGAGTGGTGAAATTAATTGCCAAGACCTCTAAACTAGGAGCTGACACCCCCTAGTGGTGTAATCCCCAGCCTCAATACTCTATTCGGCTATCGAGCGCCCCCATCTGCCCACACGCCAGCAAAGTACACCAGTCCATCACTGGATGCGTTACCTTGCATTTTGTTCAGACTCCCCTTACACAGGAAAGGGGGAGTTGTGCAACAGAGCCCCAGGTGGCTCCAACCCCTCACCTGCTGCTGAACCACACAGACCCAGTAGATAACACCTGCGCTTGGTGGAAGTCCATCCCCACCGTGACAGGATAGAAGATGCCCTCATCGCTATAGCAAACTGAGTGACTATGAAAGCTCGGACGACTCTGACTACTGTTTGGTACTCTGGACTCTGCCAAGCCCTGCGGAAATGGTAATCAGTGTACACTGACCACACCATCGCCACCATTGGCGCCTTTGCTGTCATCCAGGAATAGGATTTAACAACACAGGAGTATTACAAACAGCTGAGAGCATACTTCCAGAGACACAACACCCCAGGACTGAAGCAAGAATGGCTGTTCAAGTCCCTGTTGCTGCAATTTCTCCATGAAGATGTGTGGTATGATGTCATTTATAAAATTGTACGTAGAAAATACTCCTAAAGGTTGCATACGTACAAAACACAGGAAGTGCGTACCCACAAAAATTTATATAATTGTGTTACACTTCAAACACTAATATACACCTATATCAATAGATATGGTCAAATTGCACTTATATTTGTTTTGATAAATTTTGTTTTCTGACAACGTGTGTTAGATCTGTTTTGTGCCCTGTGGTGAATCTGCCTACAGACGCTAACAGTTCTGTGTAGAACTAGCAGACAAAATATACTTGGTTGTGTCTACATTTATATTTTTTTTCCCACTCTGCACCTCAAACCACAGCAGCAACTTCCTCCTGTTGACTTCTGTGAACAGTGGTTTCTCACTATAGTGTGGTCTGCTTTAGCAGATGGTGATGTCTGTCTATTTTCTGCCTTGCACTAAAAGGTGTGAACTTGTTGAGTTTCACACTAGCCAGCAGCTTTGTGGTCGTCTAGTTTCATTGTTTCAGATGAATACCCCACAGTTAGATTTTGTCTTTCACCTTTCCCAGTAGTGGTGTTAAGAAAAACTGTCAAACTTGCAGCCATTTATAAAGTTTAACTTTCTTTAATTTCTTTAGCAGTAGTATCATTACGTGTTGCACAACATCTACGTCTCGTCATTTAGCTGATGCTTTTATCCAGAACGACTCACAATTGCTATATGTCAGAGTTCGAATGCTCTGGAGCAACTAGGAGTTAAGTGTCTTGCTTAGGGACACATTGGATGTCGCAGTGGGAATCTCTCACACCAAAGTCATGTGTCTTCTCCACTGCACAACTGCCACCCCCACTAAATAAACCAGTAGTAGTAACAGCAGTGAATATTGTTACGACTCTCTCGTTATGGAGAGAGGTATCATAAGGTATGGGATAACTGAAATGAGATGGCGATGACAAATGGGATAATTCAGGTTAGTGATAACTTGATTTATTTGAAAAGGTTTGTGAAGAAAACAAAGGTACAAAATGAACTGGCTACATAGATGCAGTCAAGGCTACATGTTCACAGTGTAACAGAAAGAGGTATTACACGGAGACATACTGCACTGAACTTAAAAGAACAAAAACACTCCAGTTCAGAACAAGGTAACAAAAGGAGGACTGCATTCATAATCTTACAAAACAGCAATGCAAACAATCTAGAAAATAACCAGTGTCACATCTAAAAAAAGAAACAACAAAAAAACACACCATGTAACTTGACCTGGCAGCGAGGTGGACTGATCACTGATTCACAGCCACCGTGAGCTGTGTGCACACAAACTATTTATGCAGCAGCCAGTGTTGATTGGAATCTTTGGAGTGGAAGGGTCGACCACAGCCACACCAACCTCATCTCCGTAGGAGCTAATCCTCGATGGAGAATCACACAGCTGACTTGGCAGAATACATAACGTCTCTTACGAAATGGCACGAGATTAACATAAACTAACAACCACCAATAGTAACCATAACAATATATCAGCACTAGTATCAGTTGTAGTACCTGCAGTAATGTAATTTGTATGTATTTTATTTTCCAGAGAGTGATCCAGCTGCAGTCTACTCAGCAGTGAGAGGAACAGATGACGTCAGTTATGAACAAATAACCGTCAGACCAAACAGGACGAGAGGTACAGCTGCTCTTTATTTATTAAATTCGGACAGAGCCAGACTAGCGGTGTCCCCCTGGCTTCCAGTCTTTATGGTCTACTCCTAATAAGCTTTTTCAATGCGCTGGTTAAATTTATCCAGTGCAGTACGAGTCACTACTGATTGGCAGATCGCCATGGTAGCAACTTGTCAATCACAGGGTAGTCCCGCCCTAAAGCACTTGTCAATCAGGCTAGAGTGACTCTTACCCACAACAATGTGTAAATTTAACCAGCGCTGTTGAACTAGCTGTTTAGCAGTTGGCTGTTCATTTTCCCGTTAAGTACACTTTGTTTTAAACCTTTTTTTTTTTTAAGTGAGCCAACATTAGCAACCCAGTTAAAGTCACAGTTAATGTAAATTACAGCTGTAACTAGCCAACCAAGCTTGCTAGTGCCACCGTCTCATCCAACTATGGTCACGTTTGGTCTGGTTGCAAAAATCAACATTGCTGAGGCCTATCGGCCAAACTCTTCTCTTAAATAGTCTATGGTTTTGCCTGACAGGCTTCATCACATTAACCATTATTGTTGTTCTGTATCCTTATATGGAGTTTAGGTTGGAGTCAGTCTTTGCTGGGAGCTGGTTGTTTAATTATGTTAGTGGACTGCATTTCGTTAGCTGTGGTGTTGTCGGCGAGAGCCTTTGTAGCGCACACAGTGCTACATCTCTAATATAGGAGGAGCGTGTGTCTGTTTGTGTTTTGATTATCGAGAACTTTTCATCCAATTGATGCACAGTGTTGTGTTTGGTGCAATTTGGACTAAGCTTACGTTAGAAACCAAAGTGTTGAAACAGATTTGTAAGAGTTTTATTACGATCTACTCATCACTGGCTGAGACGTTTCTTAAGGTTTACTGGTGCGACCTGATTTAGTGAATCACTAGTTTGAAACTCTTCTTAGTTCCTGAGAACTCGGTGAAGCAGAGTTGTTGTTGATGGAGTTTCTTTGTCAGTTTCTCATGTTGTTTGAACTGTTTGTGTGTTCAGAGTTTCCAGCAGAGACAGAGGTCGTCTACTCTTCACTGAGGAAGACCTTTGCACCTTCACACCAGTCCAACCACTGATGTCCAGTTGACCTGTAACTGGTCCCCAGAGCCCCTCACACCTCAGCACATCCATTTATTATATTTCAGTGTTAAAGCTAAATTAGACTCAGGCAGCTACAAAGAAACAGCGAGGTCAGATTTTGTGCCTAGTTTAAATCAAAATATACAGTATAAAACCAGTGACTAAAAAACAAACAAGAGTAATTAAATTGTTAAAATACTTATTTAAAGTCCCTGTAAGTGTTTCAGTATTTAGTACACTTCACCGACATGTTACATGTTTTGTTGTACTTTCATTCATTTATTTCTACTGAACAGAATCTAATGAAATATTACAAGTTTTTTTTTGTAGGTAATGTAACTTTAATGTTATTTATATTTCATTTCACTTTTTTTGTTTCTTGTTGCCGCAGCAGTGAACTTGTTTCTTGGCAGAATCAATAAACTTTGGTCTCGTTCTTGTTGTTCTCCTGTGGTTCTGTGGGTTTCACAAAGCCAACACATTCTCATTAATGACTAGTCACATATTGACGCTTGGTCAAGGCCCTTTGGCGTCGCCTTTTAACGACCTGGGTAGCCCTTTTATATCAGTTCTGCGGTCAAGTTAGCAATGCTTAGCAACAACAAATATGCAACATCCGGTTAGACATTCAAAATAAAACGTTAGAGATCGAAACGTCACCATTTTGAAACACTGCATTATTAAACTTGTGAAATGTTGCAGTTTGGTTAGGTTTAGCCACGAAAAGTACTTGGATGGTTTAGGCAACAGAAGTACTTGGTTAAGGTTAGGAAAAGATCATGGTTTGGGTTAAAATAACTATGAACTATGATGGTAAAGGGATCCCCAGTGCCTCACAAACTGATTATGGCTCTTGACCATGTGTCCATATGTGACGACTTGAGAGTGAGAACGGGTTGACGAAGCTGTCTGTTGGAAAATGTGATGTGTGACTTGTTCTGGTTTGGCTGTGGCTAACGGATACACACCTGCAATTCATAACTCTCTTCAGTGCAGATGGCTGAGAAGAATCAAAACTGCAACCACAGACTCTAAACAGCCCCTTCAGCTTCAGTACAGTCTGTTTGTGTGATTATAATTTTGAATATTTTTAATCCATTTATAGCATAAAAAGATAAAGTTAGGAGTACTTAATACAGTCATGGTCAAAAATATGGGCACCCCTGCATGTCTGTCACACAATGCACTACTTCTCCCAGAAAATTGTCACAATTACAAATGCTTTAGTATTCTCATGATTACTTATTTTGTTTGCATTGGAACAACACAAAGATGAGAGACAATAGTAGTAGTTATGTTATTAATTTGAGTGGAAAAAGTGAACATCCCTTTCAATTTCAGTATTCCTTCCACTTCCCTCTGCATCCGATTCTGCCGCACATTGCATCTTCCATATTGAAGGCAAATCAGTATAAAGTGCAGCATGTAGGAGAAATGCTTGTAGGTTGTTTAGCTATTGTATAGCTGCACATGCTCAGTACAGTCCCAGTCAGCTTGGTGACAGACGCAGCATCACTCTGAGCTGTCCGCAGCGTCAAGCTACTTTCTAAATTCTTCCATCTCACGGAGAAAAGAAGTCAGGTCGAAACAACACCCACCCCCGAAGGCTATGCTATGGTTCACACACTGTGTGAGGAAATGCAGTTTCAAGAAGTTTGGGCATGGCAGGTATTGCGTGATAACAGCTCCAATTCCTATAACATACAACAGTTTTGCCAAAGCTTCAAGGAAAATACAAAAAATAATGATTCAATTCATAAAGTTCATCAAAAAAATAAAATGAAATAATTTTATTTATATATGTGGCCAGGCCAGGAATGATGAGGCCAAACACATATCAGAGTCCAGTTTTCATGTTTTTTTTTCTGAACAGGTATCAGCAGAAACATTTTTCTTTTATCAGGGAGCAGCAGAAACAGTCAGTTCAACAGTCATGTTCAGTAGCAAGTTTCCCTTTTAGAATGTGGTGAAGTGGTCGAGCACAAGATGTAGCGGCAAGTGGGCACGTTCCCGTGAAACTGTTGTGGTCGAGCTCGCCTCACGCACATGTCCACCCGCACGCAGAAGTTGAATTGTCTTGAACTTTTTGTACATGACACACAGCAAAAATCATTGGAAGAGAGACTGATCCTCGATGTTTGTGAGTTTCCAGAATCTATTACTGTTTACTAAATAGGACATCAACAGGAGGCAATTCCCATCCCCACAAAACTAGATGAAGGCCTATCAGTTTAAGTTATGTAGCCTATAATTGTAACTTGAGTTAAATAGGCTACAGTGGTGTAGCGCACAGCAGCCGTTGCCACGATTACTCTCAATAGAGCGCCTGCCGTTTACTCGCGGAGCGCTGTCTTTGTCCCTCTGCTACATCCACTACCAACCCGTTCTCACTCCCAAGTCGTCACATATGGAAGCATGGTCAAGTGTCATAGTCGTCAGTTTGTGACGCACTGGGAATCCCTTTTCCGTCATAGTTTGACGTATTGGGGAAAGCCTGTAGCATTAGTTTTAACGGTAAAGGCCGGTAAATGATATTTAACAGAAAACACAGTAAGGAGGTGGTTAGGGTGGATGGAGGGCCAGAACCCTGTCATTGAGCCAGGAGACCGGGGTTCAAGTCTCATGTGAAACAAAAAGTCAACATTAAAAAATTTTATTTAGGCAAGTTGCGACGTAAGTGACGCTAGTTAACTTACGTGTTAACTGACATTTAAACCCAAACTGTGATCTTTTCCTAACCTTAACCAAGTAGTTTTGTTGCCTAAACCCACCCAAATATCTTCTGTGCCTAAACGTAACCAAACTGCAATGTTTGACGACTTTATCGGCATTAATTAATTAATGCGTTAACGCGATAATAATGTTTTAACATGCCCAGCCCTAATATATTATATTTTTCATTTCTCTACATATTCATTTATTACGTCTGTGTCTCCTTCTCGCAACGATAACAGCAGCCATCTCTGCGCACTTGTAGGTTTGCACCTTCCTTTCAAACGTATTAAATACAAATGTTGTTGCACTCACTTGAAAATTGCTTTTAGGCTTGTTAGATCACATTGTGTGTGGTAAATAAATGTATTTGCATGTTACCCTCCCATTGCTTTGCTCAATGAAATTGAAACAAGGTAGTAAATGAAAAACAGGTGTTATCTTGCACTTTTGGAAGACGTCATTCTCCGTGCACACCGTTAGTAGATCAGCTTACGTGTTCATTTCCTGGTGATATCAAGTTTGCGCAAACCTTTAGTAAATCAGGCCACATGTGTACTGAGATTATTGTTGCTCACAGGTGTATTAGTATATTTGTGCTTGTTCTGTATGAATACATTGAAACCAAGCTGGATGGTAATTTTAAACTTGAATTTTTGCTGAACCACATCTCAGACTTAAGATTAAAGTGTGTTTTGCTGGGAGGCAAAGATAAAGAAAGCATTCAAAACTTCAGTGGCATCAGCTCATTTTTCTAATCTGACTCTCTCCAGCAGGCTTGTGTTTTCCAACAGTTTTAAGGGACAGTAGTGAACTTAACAATACAGCCATACAGACTTCTATAGAGTCCCCTCCAAAAGTATTGTAACGGTAACGCAAATTCCTTTGTTTTTGTTGTTCACTGAAGACATTTGGGTTTAAGATCAAAAGATGATTATGAGACAAGAGTTCAGAATTTCAGCTTTTATTTCCTGGTATTCACATCTAGATGTGTTAAACAACTCAGGACAAACCACCCTTTGTTTGAACCCACCCATTTTTCAAGTGAGCAAAACTATTGGAACATGTGACTGACAGATGTTTCTTGTTGCCCAGGTGTTGCCTTTTAGGTTGACTGTCCAAACATTAAATATCTCTGCATGACTGGTCTAAGTTTTCATTCTTGGTTCAAACCTATGAAGACTGCATTTCCTGTTAAAGAGGATAAACCAACATGAAGACCAGAGAGCTGTCTGTGGGAGAAAAGCAAGCCACTGTCAAGAAAAGAAAGGAAAATCGACCAGAGCCATTGGACAAACATTGGGTATAGCAAGCACAAATAATTTGGAACGCCCTGAAAAAGACAGAAACTACAGGTGTACTGAGCAACAGACGTCCAACAGGTCGACCAAGGAAAACAACTGTAGTTGATGACAGAAATATCATGATAGCTGTGAAGAAAACCCCCAAAACATCAGGAAGTGACATCACCAACAACCTCCACAGTGCAGGGTGAAGGTATCACAATCCACTGTTGAAAGAAGACTCAGAGAGCAGAAATATAGAGGCCACACCAAATGATGCAAACCACTCTTCAGCAGGAAGAATCGGAAGGCCAGACTGAAATTTGCAAAGCAAATCCAAAGCATCTGTGAAGCATGGTGGAGGTGATGTCATGGCTTGGACGTGCATGGCTGCTTCTGGAACAGGCTCATTAATATTTATTGATGATGTAACTGATGATGGTCGCAGCAGAATGAATTCAGAAGTGTACAGAAACATTTTGTCTGCCAATTTATGGAGAAATCCATTGTAACTAATGGGGAGGAAGTTTATCATGCAGCAGGACAACGAGCCAAAGCACACTGCCAACAACACAAAGGACTTCATCAGGGGGAAAAGTGGAAGGTTTTAGACTGGCCAAGTCAATCAGCTGACCTTAACCCAACAGAGCTGCATTTCACCTCCTTAAGAGGAGACTGAAGGGAGAAACACCCGAAACAAACAAGAACTGAAAGAAGCTGAGATAAAAGCCTGGAATAGCATCACAAATGAAGAATGCAACAGTTTGATGTCGATGGGTCGCAGGCTTGAGGCAGTTATTGCAAGCAAGGGTTATGCCACCAAATATTAAATGTTATTTACGTTAAGATTAATTGTTCCTGTGCTGTGGTCTAATACAAACGGTGATATGTCATGAGTTGTTTAACACATTGTGGATATACAATACAACCCTACAGTGATATTGCATAATATGATTCTCTTATATGCTTACTTATTACTTATGATTGCTCATATGATACTCAATATTGTGTGACATGCTTATCTTTGGTAACTCAGCAGTTAAGACAGTTAGAGGCTTGTGGTGAGCAACAGGAAACCGGACCCGGACATTAATACACTCTGACACACTTCACATTTTTCTTAATACAGTGACACACACTCACATGACAGCCCCTAAGGCACACTATAAATATTCTACACCTATTGACAACTTCCATATAAGGTAACATGGGATGTGCAGCTGGGTGATGTCTCATCAACATATACACAGCTTAGCGGAAGAGTAATCAGACCCTTACTTAGGTAGCGTGCAGGAAGGGTCTCTAGATATATCTGTCTCAATAAAGGTGTGATGTGAATCTGATCTCTCATCTCCTCTAAGTTATTTTCCATCAAACAAATCGGGGAAGTCATTGTACTTCAACAACATCTAGATGTGAATACCAGGAGATAAAAGCTGA